ATTTCCTCCACGTTCCACCCTTCCAGAAGAGAACCAGAAAGTTAGGTTGGGGGGGGGGGGTGGAATTCCATCAGAATAATGATAGACACCCTGTCCCTGAAATGGGATCAACAAATCCATCAGCATGCTTCACATGCAAACATGGTCTATAATGCGAAGACCAAAACAGGCCTGATCTTAGACTAGTGTTCTGTATGGGTTCATGTTCCTCTTTTCATTAGCATCACTTAGTAGCCATGTTCTGGGTACAAACATCTGGCTAGCTCCTACTGGAAATATCTGTGTATAAGCTGTGCATTGCTGTCAAGAGCTTTGTGCAGGCTTTTAACAGTGTATGCCCTTGTAATAAGTGCTCAGGAAGTCTCAGGTTCCACACTGCCAGCAGACCTCTCCTTGATTCCTAAAAGGTAATGTCAGAATATATTACGTAAATGCCTACAAGCAGATAGCCAATAGGAAGAATGAACAGTTTGAATGGGCAGCATCCCTATAAATGCAGGGTAAAGAATCTTGAAACAAACAAACTAACTAAAAAGGAAACCACCTCTGGCTTGACATCATTCGGATCATCAATTTGGGCTATATCATCCCAATCCTGAGGTTTCTTCACTGTAGGATCATTTATCTTCCTTGGTGGCAAGAAATCCCAGTCATCTTCTAGATTGCCGGACTCAATCATTTCATTATCAATTTTCACTTTGTATGTCTGATCTGATCTTAAAATCAGTGTGTACAAGTGAGTAAATCCATCAACCTGTAACATTTTTAGAGTTTAAAAGGAGTTAAATACTTTTTACTACTGAGAACAGGTAGTTTTTAAAATAGTACATAGACTGTGATTATAATGCAATATTATGTTCAGATGAAATATCCAGAGAAGCTTAAAAGAACTTTTCTAGATGCTAAACATGAAAATGCTTAAGCACAAATAAAAGCATTTTCTGTACTTCAAGAACTGGTCATGAAAAATGCACTCAAAGTAGCAATGAATAAGTCCAGAGTCAGCAGTTTTCCCCATTTTGGCCAGAGGAAGTAGGGCAATGTTCAAATCAATTGCCCTGCAGTGGGGAACAGCCAGAGAGGGAGAAACAGACATTTATTGGACTGCTTGTTCTTTTTTAAAATTGATTCATGTGTTTCTTTTGAGGAAGGGGGTGTGGGGAAAGGGGAAGGTAAGTTTGAAGAACAATTGCGAGAGGGAGATACAGGCTCGGGAAGGGCTGTAAGGAGGAAGACAGACAACTCCTTTGGCTATGAAGCAGGGGAATAGGAGTGAATAGTAGGCCATGCAGGAGCAGAATTTTTAAAAAGAAGTATTGAACATGAGGTTGGAAAACTTGTGTGCGGGAAGGGGCAGGAAGGTTGTACCTTCTTATTTAAAATATTTTAGTTTGGGTACATAATTTTTGCTTTTATCATAAACCATCCTAAACCTTTTCTGGGATAGCTGAGAGTGACAAGATAAAGAAGGAGAAATAAGCATCTCTCGAAGTTAGAAATACATATGCAACCTCAAGTGTGGGCAAAGATCATCAATCCGGGAAGATGCACACACAGGATATGATAATTATACAAAAGAAAATGCATTAAAAATCCAGGAAATTCAAGTTATGGTTACACTTGAAAACTTCTAACATGTACTTTGTGGTACAGGTTTCCAGCCCCTGATTTAAGAGTAATGCAAGTCTGGGGGATGATATCTATCTTCCATACAGAAGACCTTGAATCCCTGCTTTAAAAGCAATATTGTAATAAAACTACAAAAAAAAAAGTCACTACCTAATACTTCCCTAGTGCATTTAATACAAGTCTGTCTTTACAGTTTTATAAATGTAAAATTCACAAAACTATAATTTTCAGAAATATCAAGCATTTACCTTGCACCTGATTTGTTTCTTGATTGGATAAAGCTTATTCTTGTAATTTAAAATAACATGAACTTTCTTTGTTTCAGATCCACAAATATCTGGTCCTTAAGAATACAGAACATGACTTTTGTTTTTAAATTGTTTTATATGCATGCACCTCTCTTAGCTAAAAATCAAAACACCATGCACCACAACCCAACAGGCACTACTCTTCCATGTGGTACTTGTGCATCATTTTTTTTTTTTTTTATTCGCACAGTTATTTTTAAGATTTAGGTCAATTGCAAAAATTATATTTAGATTTTGCTAGCCCCATGTTGTATTCTTCATCCAGGCATTAAACATACAATTAAAACCAAATACCACACATGCATATACAGAAATCCTTTAACAGCAGCAGTTATCCATAGTCCAAATTAAAGAAAATTTTTAAAAAAACCTCTCAACTGATAAAGCATCTTTGGCTTAAGTTTTACCTTGAGGTACACAAATGTAATGTATAAAATCACAGAAAAGTAGGGTTTGGAAGGGACCTCATGAGGTCATTTAGTTCAAGGCAAGATCTTCCACCATCTAAACCATCCTAGAGAAGGTTGTCTAACCTATTCTTAAAACAACCTTCCAAGGATGGAGATTCCACATCTCTGTTATTTAAATGGATCTGCAATCAGGGGACACACATTTTGGACTACAGTTAAGGTTTTCAAAAAATTTAGTGACTGCAGTGACCTTGCTAAACATTTAACTTCATTATAGGAGACTTCCATACACTTTTAGTTCATAGCTCTCAAGCAGTCATGAACACGTCTCATTTGCATTTTGATAAATGGCATTTCAAAGGATAGCTCAGGCACAGAATTACTGACAAACAGTCAAGGCATTCTAATTTAGTTGAGGCATTTGAATAATGTATGTATAACTAAACTCACCAAACATAATGTAATACTGTGACTCACTACTCATGTTTTTTTGATCCAAGTTTGAGGAAAATAGTTTTATGTATCCACCACCACAGTCTATCTTTTGCTCATGTTTTACCGTATATTGAATGACTAGAGTCTTTCCTTTATTGTTAAATGGTTTAAATCGTGATGAGATGGCATAAAATTTAGAATTTTCACAGGTTTGCAGACCTGTAAAGATATTAAAGTTTGCATATAACATGTCAATTGTATGTGCATGTACACAGTTCAATTTCTCCCTTCCTCCCCTCCAATCTGTGGATAACTAGACATATAATAAAGATTTGCCTACAGTTAGCTCTGTATAGGTCAGTCTTGACTAAGAAAAAGTCCATCAGTTAGGTGGGTGCAGATTTGCTATATAAATTTAGAGATTTAATTCTTAATTTAACCGAGACAGAAATTCTCTTATTTACACTATTATTGATATAGAGTTGCTCTCAAACTATAAGGTCATACAAGTGAAATCAAGAGCACAACTGGCTGTGTTTTTAGTGGAGAAAAAGTTGCGTGTCATTCTTCACTTAACGGAGTACAACATAAAACCAAAAAACACAACCAAACTATTCCCCTCAAACAAGACATAAAACAAAGCAGCCAGTTTTAAACACTGTTAAAATATACAGAAGTAAATGACACAGCAATATAAAGGATTAAAATACAGTTAGTCATCATCCCATACTCTTGGATTAATAATCCACATTAAAAAGAACAAGACAACATTTTTTAGATTTGTATCATGAGTGATCTGAATGTAGGGTAGATTAAAATTAAAGCTATATAGCTAACTAAAATTAAAGATCTATAGTATAGTGTTTAGTGAGTTGGAGCTCCCTTAATCAGATACTGTGAAAGGAGATGCAAAGAGCAGCGTATAATGCCCTAACATCAATATAGACCACATCATCACTGGATTAACAGATTATAATATCCACGGTCCATTCACCTGCAACTCCACCAATGTCATGTATACCATCACCTGCTTACAGTGCCCCTCCGCTGCCCATGTTGGGCAGATGGGACAATCCCTACGTGAATGAACGGACACCGATTTAACATCAGCTCCAGAAAAACACAAAAGCCTCTAGAAGCATATTTTAACCTCCCTGACTACCCTGAGGTCAGTGCTTAGGCAGCAAAGCTTTAAAAACAGATTTAAACTGAAAACTGCAAAACAAGAAATCATTGGCAGACAGGATTGTTAAGTATGGTTTAAACGGAGGCTGTGGATTCTTATTCCCATTCCCTGGATTAGTTTTTGTGAGCCCTTTGTCCCTGTGGGTTGATTGCTTGTTTCCCTCTCCCAGCACTGCTTCCCTCTCTCCTCCCTACCTTTTGAATTCAACTCTCTCTCCATTTTATACGTTGCTTTGCCCACTTCCTTTCACGGCAACTGATTAGGTGAGCTCCAGCTAAAGAAACCTGTATATAATATACAATTAAGTGAGTCTATAACAGGGGTCGGCAATGTTTTGGGCAGTGCCAAAAATACCCTCAGCCTGGACTTGTAAGATGTTGGTGTCCCAGGGGTGGACAGCAAGGGAGCTGCAAGGGGCCCAATCCTTGTTGTGGCCATGCGGCCCCAGCCCTTTCTCCAAGGCACGAGGGCCAAGCAAAATGCTTTGCATGCTACGCATGCTGGGGGTTGCCTACCCTGGTCTATAAGGCTCAGGTCTATCCTGCCTTCTGCTTGACTTTAGGCTAACACAACCAACTACACCTCCGCTGATCTGTCAGCAGGTCTCTAGAAGGACACGTCACTCATCTAGAAAGCAAGAACTTCATGACTGTTAAGCTGGCCAGATGTAATGCTCTGAGGAGAATAATGCAAAGTATTGCTTATGAACTTGCTAAATGTGCTGACACTACAAATTTGCCCATGGGTTTTTGCAATTTATTCATTCCAAACAACACTTTCATTAAAATTCACAAACCTTTATCTCTGACAGGGTCACCATAAAATTTTCCAGCAGTCAGCTTAAACTTCCCAAGGTCAGGTTTATATTGAGAATTCAACCATCTCCTTTGCCAGTTAACTGTCAAATTAATCAGTTTAGATTAAAATGGAAATGCTAGGCTTCTAGACAATGTAAACAACACTGAGTTTTTCTTAATCAGTTATATAAAAATACCTCTCGAGACCTGGAATATTTTTCCTTAGACTTCAGGTTGTGGCTGTAGAATTACATAGTACTAGGCAGTTATCACTAGGGTTTTGGTAGGCGAGCCCTGTTGCGGGACCGTGCGAATGAGGACAGAGATGACTTCCTGGGTAGGAAGCCCCCGCCCGCACCTCGACTCTGAACAAAGCGCTTTGCTCTGGGATAACGGTGCTGACAGCGCACGAATGCCGCCGTGACAGAGGCAAGCGAGGCCCGCCTTGGCCCGCAGCCTCCCAGCCACCGCCAGGCACCCGCCACAAGCTTCACCCGGGCCAGGACACCGCTCCACCGGCCGCCCGGCCGCAGAGGCTCAGCGAAGCGGTCTTCCCCACGCAAACTCGGCCGCGCCCGGGCCCGCACCTCCGTCCGTGAACTCCTCGCGGAAGTGCACGGCAGCGCAGGCGGAGCCAAGCACCGCCCCCAACAGCGCGGCGCGGAGCAGCAGTGCCATCGGCCCGGCGGCTCACGGGCGACACCAGCCAGTAACGGACGCGCAACCTCGCGCCTCAGCCACTTTCCCCTCGCGCTTCTTACCAGAGCGGGCTCTGATTGGTCCGAACGCTCACCGCCTTTCGGGACAGAATTGGTCCGCATTCTCGCCCCGCCCCACTCCCTGCTGCCGTCAGCGCTGACTGGCTTAGAGCCGTGGGGGGAGGGGGGAGATTCCCGGGCGCTCTAAGCAGAGAGGGGAGCTCCGCCACATCTCCCGCCCCCTTCGGAAGGCAGCACTGTCATTGGCTGGATGTCTCTAGCGTGTGACCAATGACAGGCCGGCGCTAAGGGAACGGCACTATGGTCTGCCCGGAGCCAATCGCGAGCCGCGATACTGGGGAGACCCTATCACTGGCCTGCGGGACAGGCCCGGAGCCGCGCCGGGATGTGGAGAGAAGAGGATGGGCCCTGGAGCCAGCGGGTGAGGGCAGGGCAGGGCAGGGAGCACTGCCCCCCGAGCCGGGCCTGCTCTGAGGGGCTGCGGCGAGAGCGGGGGGGGGTGGAGGAAGCAACTTTCCCAGCCTGGACCGGAGGCTGCAGACGCAGCTCGGGGCCGGGCCCAGCGCCGCTCGGCGACGAAACTGTTTCCGTGTCTGTGTCCTCTGCAGCGCCGCGCACACGTCCCCTGGGAGTCGAGCAGCACGCCCCAACACCGCGGCCTCGCTGACTCTTCTGGACACCTGTCTCTGCACGGCACGGCAGGGGAAGAGACTAGAAGCCCCTTGTTTGGTCGCAGCAGGTTCCTTAAGAACAAGAAGCGCATCAAAGGGATCCAGCGGAGCCACGCGCAGGCAGGGGGAAATGGCCCCGCTGCATGCCCGACCCAGGAGACCGCCGCAGAGGTGGCATCCCGCACAGCTCTAGGACAGCTGGTGCGCCCACAGGGCAAGATCACAGCCCGAGGGTTGCAGACGGATTTGTCCAGCGCTGACTTGGCTCTAAACATTTCCAGTAAGTCCTTCTCGGCCAGGCCCAGCCACGAGCCGAATGCAAGAGGCAGCAGGTATCTCAAAAAAAGCTCTGTGCTGGGTGAAAGAGTGACGCTACGTACTAGCTGTTCCAAGAGGGAAGAAAGCAACCAGCCCATCGAAAAGAAAGCACCAGTTAAAGCCCGGTTTGATTTAGACAGTGATGAGGAGGAAATGAGAGTGTTATTAGGGAGTTCTTTGGCATTTTCCAGTGACAATGAGGATCGGAAAGATAGCACCCATAATGCTAAACATTGTGAAAAGGTAACAAATCAGCTTCGACTAAACACTTTTATTTCCCTTTTATGAAATGACATTTTAAAGTGCCAGACTTGATAACTAGTTAACAGTAGGAAAAAACAATATTTTTAAAGTGGACATGTAACCCACTGTTGTGAGGTGAGAGGTCATGTCAGTCTATGTGTGGCTTGCTCTAAATGACACTCTTGTTGTCTTGTTGTTTAGTATTACCATTATCATGTAGTGCTAGGTTTAGTGCCTAAAGCTTGAAAGTAGGTTAAGTAATTACTAACTGTCTCTTCCAAGTCCTTCTTAAAGACTGAACTCAAGACTTCCCCTGGAACACCTCTTCTACCTCATAGACCATCTTCACAGACAAGTGTATTTAGTGCACCTTCGCCCTGTACCAAAAGTTCTCAGGAAAGGAATCATCATAGAACTCACCCCCAGGCTTCCTCCTCATTTGGCAGAAACTCACCAAGACCAAATCAGATATCCCTGTCTGAGAGATGTGAAATAAAGTCTTTGGATGAATTGTTTTCAAGAGCAAGCAGCACACAAGATTCAATCAGTGAAAGCTCTGATGGTGAGTATTTTGAAGTTCACTTTTAAGTGACGTTATGTTTAGAATACAGTTGATAGTAGTATATACAGATACCAAACTAGGGTGAACACCCATATTTCCATACTTCTCACATCAAGACTTCCATAAACAAATCATATAGATGCCTAGATTTTGCTCAGAAGGATTGAGATTTGCTTCAACTATACTGCATCATATTTTTCTTCAGTTTTTGTTAGGCACAGGAATTTTCTTTGCTTGGCCAATTTGATGGCATTTTGATCAATTCCAAAATTTCAGGGAACAGTCTTTGATCAATGGACATAACCTTAATAGGGCTCAATGAAATTATGAAAAACAGAAGTGGGAAACACAGAGCTAGTTGGCTGTGGTTAGCAGAACTGGCAGATTCTTTCCATCTCCTCCAGCTGTGATAGGCCAAGAGAGCCATTTGGTGGCATGCCTTAACATCTTTTGTCACGGCAATACTTGTGTCACAGCTTTGCTCACCCTCCCAAAGTGTTGATCCTATGAGCAAAGATAAGTGTGGTGTAGGGGAAGAAGAAAACTTTAGTGCAACTTTTCTGATTTGATCATTTGTCATTCTATTACAGACTTCAGAGTAAATATTTTAAGCCTTGATGAGTTGGCACCAAGCATTTCAAGCAAGAGAGAAGACTTGCAACAAAAGGTCAGCAATAAATCCTTCACATTACACAGGAGTGATTTATTTCATTTTATTAGACAATAGAGATGCTCTGAAAACAACAGCTTCCATTTCATTAATAATCGGTGTAGCAAGAAGAGCTTCCACAGAACATGGACCGACCCAATGTGTACTGTTTGAGGTCATAGTCACCAAGTTTCATTGGTTTTCTTTAATAAGATGTGTAAATGGCTACAATTAATCTTTTTGGTTGGTTGCATTTCAAAGAGGGTTTACTTATTTCATACTAAAAGTGTAAGTCTGGCCAATAGAAGCAGCAACCAACCAATTTAATGAATTCACCTTTCCAGGTGTTATTGTGATGATCCTTCTCCTTGCGTTTGTTTTTTTTCCCCCCCAACAGAAGACAGACGCTACAAAAGTTAAAAAATCAGATGTGGAAAAAGGAATAAATGTCTTTCAGGCAAATAGTGATCAACCTCCCCTCAAAGTGAGGAGTGCAGGAATGCGTACCAATAGTGATTTTGACAGTGATATTGAAGAGGGAATTGGAACCGAAGCTGAAATCTCTGAGCATTTAACTGCAATTTCTGAAAACTTTCCTAGCCTTCAACAGGATGTTTTTGAACCTACTGAGAGCACTGTTCATTCAAAATATTCTGAAAACTTTGAAAAATCTGTTTCTGCAATAGTATCTGGGACAACAAACAGGAGATCTCCGTCTGAAACATTGATGGAACACCCTAATTGCTCTGTACATTCCAGAGAAACTCTCTCTCTCTCATTGTCATCATCTCTGTCTAATAAAAAATGGCATGGCACAGTAAACAGAGTAACGGTGAAAGAAACTGCAGTTCAGACAGCTGATTTTCCATTCACCTACTGCTGGTCAAAAAGTAAGTTCTCATTCATTTCTGTGTAATATAGAAATCTAACTTCTGTCCTTTCAGTTCAGTTACTGTGCTGTCTAACTGATCCAAAGGATCCTCTTTAATCTATCAGACAATGCAATTAGCCATATATACAAAAGATACTGTGGGCGTTAGTTCCAGACAAAACAGCCCATAAACTCCAACTGTTGTTACTATGGGAAACAGAGGAGGTTAGACAAACCTCTTCCGAGAGGCTGCCCTTCGTGGCAGAGCCTGGCTCACAACAGGCCTCCTAGCATTCTCAGACATGACTTTTAACAACTGAAATACAAAACAAAGTTACTGAAGTGACCTGCCACCTTTAACACCCTTTTTCAGTGTCCACTATGCCTACAGTTATTGGCTTCCTGTAAAACAGAGATTCTGCTGATACAGCAAACGTTATGGTGATCCCATCACCTCAAGTGAGAGAGCAGCCTCAGGTGATACCAGCATGCTTCAGAATCGGTCTTGTGGGCAGAGAGTCCTGCTTCATGTCCTGAACAAATTCTAGGGAGAATTACTTTGAGAGAGAGTGAATATTGCACAATTTTAGCATTCAGACGTGTTTCTGATTTGAAACCTTTTCTGTCACATTTCTGTCCTCTACATAGTGGATGGCACAGCAATCCTTGGGCCAACTGCTGGACACAGCTATCTGGATCCAATACCTGTTGCCAGTCATGTTGTCAGCATGGATATGGTAGAAGGTACTGTAAAACACAAATTTACTCAGTTCTGTTAAAACCAAGCTATGAAGTAGAATGCTGTAATATCCTTACACAAGCTGTTCAGCATTTACTTTTTAGAATAAAATACTGTCCTGTCTTTCATTTGCAGCCCTGACGGCATACAGTCCTGCTGTGTTTGTTTTAAATGACATGTTAAAACAGCACTTAATGCTGACACAGCAGTTTGTAGAAACCTTCCACCATCTTCATTTATCCCTTGTGGAGTCACTGGAGCATGAGAACTTTCACTATCACACACTGGAAGAAGCTAAGGAGGTAACTGCAGTAAGCTATAAATGGACTGTGATTTAAAGCAAAAATGTATTTCCTAAACTAGATCGACACAAAACATGTCATACAAGAGGGATTCTTGTTCCCTTGCAAATATTAACAGCTATTCTCTTTTAGATTAAACCCACAGAGTACACAGTACATAGCAGAGGTAGAAAATGCCAAGTTTGTAGGAGTAGAAATACACAGGTAAATTGCATGCAGAAAGCTTAAGTTCATGTAAGTGATACATAGCTATTCAGCAAATTACAAACTGTTCCCTTCACTGTTCCCCACAGTTTGGGGGAGAAATAATTTCTCTCCGTGGATTCAAGGCACTGTACTAATCATTAAAGTGGACAGATGTCACCTAGTGGATCCTGTGCCTCTTAAGTTATAAAAGATGAGGCTCTTGCACACAATTTACATACACAATATAGCCAAAAAAATTATTAAGACTGTGACATAAACCTTAGGTTAGAAATACCAGAATTAAAACTGTGTGCACAAGTGAATTTTCTCATTCTCCCCACCCTTCCCGTCCCTGGACCATTCAGTACATGAGAGAGAGCAATTCATTGAATGGTCCTGATAGAGCCGGGGAGGGGGGGGGGACATGAAAAATACTCAGTGCGTACCCGTTCTCTTGAGACTGCACCTGTGAAACTGACAAGCTTAGTGTACATTGACAGATTATTTTTCAACACTTAACTTTGCTGATTTGGGAAAAGTTCCACACAGAAAATAAAGGGTGCGTCTCTGAAACCACAGCCAACCCATTGCTAAATTTCAAAATCTTGCTAATGCAAAAAGTTGTCTAATACACAATGTTAACAAGATGCATTTTACCCCAGCCTTGTTATTTGAAACAGCCCAGCTAAAGCAATTCAGTTTTCTCATTGACCCATGAGCCTGGGGTAGACATTTATCAGTGTGAACAACTGAAGTTTGGCAGATGTAAGCAAATATGAGCAAGGACTTTGATGAAAAGCATGTGGGCAACCTTGATTATAGAGGTGCTGCACAATCTGCCTGTAATAATGCTAGTTCCTGGGGCAGTGGTTCTCCTTTTTAGACTCACACCCCCCTGCCATAACTTTCACGGATTGAGCAGCACTCAGTTTCAGAACCTAATGTATTACAGTGCTTACCTCCTTGCAGGAGGCAGTGAGAGCAAGGGAGCAGCTGGGCAGGGAGAACCTGAGCCTGCACTCATCTCCTCACACCTTGAGGTACCCTTCAGAGGCACACTAGGATGCTTTAGCACCCTGGCTGAGAAGCACTGCTCTAGAGAATCCAGTTCGGATAGAAGTTGCCATTGTGCTGGGTGCCATATAAAGATACCGTTGTTATCCCAAAGACCTTCTGTGTAAGAACTGTATGTTCCCTGTGCATGGGCCAGATGTCTCTTACACCCCAATGCAATAGCTGCAAAGGAAACCACAGTTTCTGATGCAAGACTGAATATACAGAAAGGCTGCAAAGCAACCGTCTCGTCTTCAGCACTAAATGGTGTTTGAGTATTAACCAATCTCTTGTTTCTTTGCAGTACATCAAGAGTCACAAATCTCCACCTCTGACAACTGAACAAGCATTAGAAGAAGTTAAGGAAGTACAAGAACAGTAACTGCTGTGACAGACTTTTCCTAAGTGAATTTTAACCAATGCTTTTTGTCATGAGTAGAATTTCCAGTTACAAATCTCAAACTGAAGCAAGACTTTCATGCAACATGTAGAAAAGGACAATACTAGTGAGTTGGTTTTGTACACAGTGCATCTACATGTGTGCTTTACTGCAGAGTAGACTAATTTGCTGCACAGTAAAACATCACCATCTACATGCGCAGCAGCGCCAGGCCACAGTAAACTAATCAACTCTGCCATAAGATAGTACTGTCCCCAACAGTACTACCTTATGGCAGGGTAATTTACTGCAGTTAAACACACATGTAGATGCTGACTGCAGGTGTAAATAGGACCCAGCCAGCCAGGGGCCAGACTCTTGCCTGCTGCCTAGACACATGGCTCTGCAATTCAGCACCACTGTGCCCCAGCAAGCCCCTCTGCTGCCACTCGTACCCCAGGCCTGACCTCTATGCCTCCTGCTAGCCCAGGCCTCCTCTGCCCCAGCTCAAATTGCTGTTGTCCCAGGTGCACATGTAGATGCCATGCCCAGGAATAGTTTACTCCAACTCAAAAAGCTCCCAGAGTTTATTGCTTCGCATTAAATTGAACATATAGACACACCAAGTGAGAATTCACCCCAGCTGCAATATATCTTTAGATACAGAGGTTACATTCTGTCCCTGGAGACTACCAGTACAATAGACAGAAATTACTTTGGTTTTTACTACTTAAAGATCTTCAGTGTAAATTAGCCTTGATTATGTTAAAAAAAAAAAAAAGTTAAAACCTAATGAGCAAACAAACAGGGGAGTGTTAAGGGGTATTAACAGCCTTTGTGTTACAAGTCACAGTATAACCCATGTTCAATAACCCAAACCAATGGTATTAAGAAGTGTGAAAAAAAGCAGAAGTACTCCTTAAATTAGGGACACAGGACTGGAAAGGACTTCCTGGGCTGTCAAATCCAGTTGCCTAATTAGAACAATGTGGGTGCATCCACATGTGCAATTGATATGATGCAATAAAATTCCCAAGCTGTTTGAGCTGGAGGAAACCGCTACTGGGCACAGCATCTACATGCTCACCCAGAACAGCAGCAATTTGAGCCAGGGTAGAGCAGGCCCCCAGCTGGCTGGGCTGACCAGGTGCAATTTAGGCCTGCAGTCAGTGTCCACACGTGCGTTTCAGTGCAGTAAATTACTTTGCCACATTATCTTACACTCGAGTTAATTTACTGCACACTAACACAAGTGCACATGTAGATGGTAACACTCTACCATGGAGCTAATTAGTCGACTCTGCAGTAAAGCACACATGTAGATGCACTTAAAACTGTACTCATACAATTTGGCCTCTAAAATTATTTGTTAAATCAACCCTTGTTATAAACCACTTGCTCCTAGGCAACTGGAAAATACTTTGTATATAGGATAAAAGGCAACCCATTTACTTTGAAAAATGAGCTAAAGCTAATTTTTGTTTGTTTGTTTGTTTTTGTTTTTAATAAAAAGTGTTTATTGGAGGGCAAAACAGTAAAATTCACAAGTTGGTAACATACAGATGTCTTAGGCCGATTCACAGACAGTTACAGTTCCACAGCTACAGTAAGTCTAGAAGAGACAGATATTTCACCATATCGGACTGCATGGTTTAAGAGGGTTTCTGCTGTATAAACAAATGACTTTGGGAAGAGGTTACCACCAAGCAGACCTCTTGAGTAGATGTCCAGTGTAATGATCTAACATCTTAAGCTGGTGGTGTCTGGAAACAATTTAGTTACAAAAGCATTTTAAAGGAGGTTTCCAGGAATGCTTCACACTTAGAAATCTGTGAAATGGGGGAAAAACAGGTTCTCTTCTATTGAACTAATTTTAGCTTTTATTCAAGGGTATATACAAAAATATAAAAAGCTTAAAGAATGTCTTTCGTTACAAAGCATCAAACATCCCTTAGAGCACTTGGATGGCTAAAACAGTTAACCCTTTATGTTCCGAGTAGAGTTGTGACTGCAGCAGCTGGTGTGTAGGGGCTCTAAGTTGTATAGTAGATTCTAATAAGCTCATACAGTGCTCATAGGTCACCTGTACTGGAACAAGGTGCTTGTCTCCCCATTTAGACATTAGGATACACTGCTCAGCATCAGTCTGACTTGTTCCCAAGGCAGCACCCCTCCACTTCAAATAGAATTAACCTTTGAGAGAAATAAACATACATTATGGAACTAGAGACATGGAACCATATCAGATAATGTCTGTATTCCACAGGAATGAGTGGATCACAATCCTGGACCAGAGATAGCTTAACAGGGATTTAGTCCTAGTATAAAATGGGTAACTTTTTTGCTTTAAAACTGCAGAATAAATGGGCATTTCTGAACTTGCTAGACATGTCATGGTGATCACTGGCCTTTTTAAAATGCTAAACAAAGTGGAGCACATGTCATAGCTTTCCTTTTTAAAAAATAATTATCTTAATGGTCACTTCCTCCAGACATTAATCCTGATTTATACAAGTTTAATGATTTGTAGAAGATGCAACACATCTTTCTCCAGGTATTTCAGGGAGTCTTATTCAGGTGGTGGAGGATCTTGGGTGTCACGCTTCACTGAAACAACAGGGAAAAAATTCTTACACATTCTGCAATTAGTCTTGGTTGGCTGAGGAAAATGCATCTTGAGGAGGGCTCCATTTAAAAATGGTAGTTTTCCCCACTGTGTGTGGTGCTTGCATGGATTTCATTACATAGATACCCTCCAAGCTATGGAGAGAAATGACTTCTCATTTTGCATTCCCAATTTCTCGCATAGCCTCACTGACTGCTATTTAGATGCATTTGTCACGAGTCTCTGTCCTGCTCCCATTCACAAAATGAAGTTTCCATCCTACACAAAACATCTATTACAGATACCTGGCTTGTTTGCAAGTTTTCCTGAGTCTTTACTAGAGATGCGTATTAGTTCCCAGTCTCAGAAAGGGGACAAAATACGACAGCCATCTCAAACAGGGCCAGGCAATAACCCTGGCCTGTCTATCACCACCCATAACAGCCATCCTCCCCTTGCTGCCTTGATAGACACTGCTCACTGCCCCCTAAGTTACTGCTGTATTTTAACCTTCAGAAAATCAGGCTGAATCACAAACTGTCTGGCAAGCACTATCATACACAAGAGCTGGCTTGAACAGAGGTGGGATAGATTTGGAATGGAAGGAAGAGAGTCACAAAAATTCCTAAAGTGCAGACAGCCCAAATTAGCTTAATTTAGAAAATTCATAGATAACTCCTACAATAGTCACCATGGCTTAATGCAAGTTGCATATACTGAGAAAAGTTCTTAGCTAGGAATGTGCTGGAGACACTCAGAGAACATCATTTACTTACCTATTATAGTTAAAATTTAAGATTAATACCTACTATTAGAAATTGGTTTATTATTAGTTATTAACCTTTTGATTTGCTACACAAACTGTATGAGGATTGACAGTGTAAGGAAACCTTTGCCAAATGTGCTAACATAGCCATCATGATAACAATAAAAGGATAACCAAGACCTTTCCAGATTTTTCAAGAAGTTCACTTACATTCATCTCTGGCCTTCATGCGTGCAATAAACGAGTAGCTTTTATTTCTTCGGTAGTTCTCATACGGGTCATCTAGGGCAACTCCCACACCCTTATACTGATCCCATTTGTCTCTGATATCCCCTCCTTTAATTGGGTCCTGGATTCCTTGCTCCTTAGCTCCCAGTCCGCCAGATCCACTCCATCCTATTAGAAGAAAGAAAGAAGGAAAGAAAAGTGCACACCATGGATAAGCATCTTAAGGATTTTAACAAATACCTCACTGAACTGTACAGAAAGGTATTTTGGAAACAAAAAAAATAAGATTGATATAGCCCAAGTCTGTAAATAGTTTTAAACGATAATTCAGATGCACTAACTGTCCCACTAGCCTTAAGTGTGTTAACTTCAAGATCTGCTACATGGGGAATAAACCAGAGCCCTAAGGAAAACACCAAGCACCAGAAGAGTGCAACAGGTCCCATCTTCCCACTTAATGTAGTGGCACTTTATCAGTTACAGTCAACACCTGGGACAGGTGAGTCCACTTGCTGGTTCTCTAGAAAGGAAAAAGAAAGTCTACACCGTCCACGTACCTGAGAATCTGCCCCTGGGTTTACAAATTACAAAGTAGACAAGATTACATCTAAAAGGGCAGAGCTATACAAATGGAAATACAGACTCTGCAGGCAAAAAGGTGGACTGCAAGATTTGACGTTGTAACATGCCAGTTTTTATCCTTGCTGTACATGGACAATAGCAGCACTTCTCTACTTGTAGAGCTATAGGGAGAATATATCAAATACTGAGGTGCTCACACACTATAAGTAGGTTTTAAAGTACTTAAATAACTGTAATAAAATAGTGATAATTATGCTGTTTTTGACAAAAGCTATTAAAGGAAGCAACTTATGATAGAAGTCCTACGGCAATCTGCACAGTTTCCAGCTTTTTTTCAGCCACAAATAAGGAAGATAATAGAAGCAGTTAACCTGATTTACTGTTAGCAAGTGCAAAAGAGGAAGGTGGAGATAATGACACCTCTCTGAAGTGCCCATGACTGGAGAGTTGCACCAATTATCTCCAGAACTCCTTAGATTCAAGACATAACTTACCCATTTTCACCAACATTTGATGCCCTTTATTTTCTTCTCCAAGTCTTGATTCAGGTATAGGAGGCCCAGAGCTGGAGCCCAAACCAGCAGCAGAACTAAGAGAGAACACGTCAGAATTTCTTATTGTTATCCCTTTGCCTTACTGTGCTAGAACAAACAATGCAAGTTTCTTGTTATGTAAACGTCAATAACCATCATCACCTTTGAGAAGCTATGACATAAGAAGTCCTGTTGCAACTTGTCACATGCAACCCACCACCCAAATCAGCAGATACTGAATCCCAAATCCCATGGCTCTCTCAAGAGTAACTCAAGGGTCCAGAGTATCCCTCTTCCTTTCTGTTACATAGCTGGTTTTGTTTGTTTTACATCCTGAGAGTAAAAAAGTAGCAACCACGAAGAATTATGGAGTAACTTTAGTCTCTCTCAGTGTATGTTATACTACAGTACAGTTCATACAAGTTGAATTCTTAAAATCGGCCTCAAATTCTACCCTTTCTATCCAATATATCATTTAATATAAAAAAACAAAACAAAGCATGAGACACGTCCCAGGTCAACCTCAAAAGGTAAATCGTTAAACCCAATCCAAAAACTTACGGAGGAGTAGGACTCCGAGATCGGGATCGGTGCCGCCTTCCAGGGGAGTAAGATTTTGATCTTGATCTTGATCGTGACCTTGACCTTGACCGGCTGCGAGAAGAGCGGGACCTGCTCCTACTTCTGGAAAGACAGGATGGGTGAAATCTACTACCTTTCTTTTATGTATAGGAGTGCTAAAGCTTTTTTTTTTTTTTTTTAAACTTTTTCTACTTGTTTCCTAGTTTTTTAAGTCACTTGTAAAGTTAATAAAGTAACACCAGTCTTAAAAAATGTGGCTAAGAGCTGGAAAAGTTAGCATCAAAATCTATGTTTTGAACGAACACAATCTAGAATAAAACACACTATTTTAAATACTCAAATTGCCAGCTTCACTTGCTTGAGTAAATCCCAGTGACCTTAAGGAACTTATGGTCAACTTAAGTAAGTATCTTAAGATTCTTAACTGTGGTCTCCTGAAGAAGGCACTACACGTTCCAGAATTTTCCATCTACATTCACAAACCACATAAAAGAACTGTTTAAGAGAGACACTGGGAACATGATCTAAAGCCGTAGTCCCAAAACTAGCGTTTGGACACGTTGCCCATGAGACTCTTGACGCTGTTTATAGCCACAGGATATTCTGCTTTCTACAGATTTCTTCAGATTGATGGGGTGGGAAGATGTGATGCCTCCCCCAGTGCATTCCCGGGTCAGAGTTGTTGACCACTGAGCCAGGAAGGGCTGGGGACTACTGCTCTAGAGTAACAGCAGTGGGAATCAGGAAATCTTATGTTCTAGTTGCACTGGAACTCTACCACTGGACTTATCACCTCTCTTTACCCACCTTAGTGTGGCAACATTTACTTTCCTACCTCCAAACAGACTATTGTACAGGTCTTCGTCAAATAGTGTACTGTATAAAAACAGCATATGAGATTTAGACAAGTTATTTCTGATGGGTTCTTGCTTCATCTTACCTGGACTGTGATCGGGAATACGATCGTGATCGGGAGCAAGATCGAGATCGGGATCTTGAGTAAGAGCCAGATGACTTTGAAGATCTTGAATTAGACCGGGAGGAGGAGCGACCTCGACTCTTGGACCTACTGCGAGACCGAGAGGGCCCACTGCACAGAGAACAAAAAACAAGCCGTATGAGCTGTTTTAACAATACGTATTTTCAATCAAACCAAGATGGAAACATACTATTTTGCTAACAACCCACTTAAGTCAAAAGGTGTCAGGGTGGCAAACATGTTGTTTTTCTACGTCTTAGGCAACCCAAACTCCCAAAAATTAAGGCTCATCACGCCAGCACATAGAGAAAACAACTCCAATAGACAATGAATTGGAGGCATGAGCATCAGTCTTTAAATGGATACAGGTAGACATAGTTAGCTGTGTTAGTCTGAAGTCAAGCAGATGGCAGGGAAGATTTGCACCTTGCATGTTAACCTACGTATCACAAGCTTGTGTGAGCCCAGGCTCACTTCATCAGATGCTGTGAAAGGACATGCATAGAGCAGTCTACATAAAAAGTGGAGAGAGATTAGAATACAAAAGCCAGGATGGAAGCAAAGTGAGGGGAGAGGCGGTAGGGGGGAGCAGTGCTGGGAGAGGCAAGCCAGAGGCCAGGGGAAAAGATGTCTCACCTGTTTCTCTTCTCCTGACCTTTCCGCCGTCTAGCTCTCATTTTAGCTCTGAAGAACTCATACAGGCCATTCTGTTCCCAGCCTTCACTGCAATAAGCCAACACCACACAGAATCAGTCTGTGAAAATTGCATTTTCATCAAACAGAGGTCAGAATACTCCCTATATTTTTAGAGAATAAGGGGCTTGGGAAAGAGGCGTCACTCTCAGAGAAAGAGCAAACAGCACGAAGTTTAATACATAAAGTAAAGCACTTACTTTCAGCATTAGAACTAAGTTATAGGTGAAGGAAGGGAGAGGCATTTCTTGATTTGAGACAGTTTCTTAGGGCGTTTTCCTTATCACATTGTTAGCTATACCTACTCTTACCTGTTTCTAGGCCTGTCATGAGATGGTGGACTATAAAACGCCTCAACCGCAGCCAGTAGTCTCTCACTGGGGGGCATTGGGGGTGGAAGACGTATATCTTTAGGATCTAAAGGTTTATACTCATGATCTTCAAGCTGCCAGAAACAAAACAAATTACAAATAAATACACCTAGACAGTTCCTAAGCAGTTGAGTCTTTCTAGTTCATTACTGGATTACAAATTGTCTAAAAAAATAAATAAATAAATAAATAAATAAAAAAAGGTCCTACACATGACCCAGCACTTGTCTTTTACAGGGCAGCAGATACAAACTCCAGTGACATTCACAACATTTAGGATGTCAGGACATTTGCTGGGATTTCCAAATAGATACCATGCAATTCTAATCAATATGCCCACATATCATCACAGCACCTGAAAGGAGGCCTCAGAGACAGTGACGTGCCCTGAGAATAACAAAAGTCAGATATCTATTAATCTGTCCAGAACACTGAGCATCGATATCACTGATAAAGACACAGATCCAATTCAGCTCCCTAGGAGTCTCCACTGCCTACAGTTCAAGTTCTGATGCTTTTATTGTAGCTTTCACTTAAAGTGATCCATCTTCACAGAAGAGTTTGAGACTAGCAGTAGCCACGTGTGGCCAGAGAGGGACTTGATGATACCTCCATACTCCTATAAATGATTATGGACTACTGTTTTGTAAATTATAGGTAATATTTTAAAAAGCACTTCAGTGACTTTGGAGCTTAAACCTTATTCACTTTCACTGAGTCTTAGGCACTTGAAAAATGTTATGCTGTCACCACTGCACGGCTAGTTCTATTTTTGGTATTTTCTTATGTATCCTGTGCCAATCCTGTCTGATGTGTCCTGTGTGGAAAACATACCGATCTGAAGGAGTAAATGTCCGTTTTAACCTGCCCCTAAAACGAACGGCAGTAAGTCTGATCTTTTAACGCTCTGGTCAGGTCTATTATCAGCCACTTACTTTCACAAGAGGAGCCATAAGTCCAGCAGGAAGATCAAAGTAGGGGACATTTGGCACCAAACTGGGGTCATCATGGTTCACATGAGGGGGACCTTGTCGCCTCATGTGAGGAGGCTGCCCATTAAATCCATGTGGCGGAGGCCCAAAATCAGGGTGCTGTGGCCCACCCCAAGGAGGATGCTCACTGATTCCAGGATGAGGCAATCTGTGTCCAGGGTGGTGATGAGGCGGTCCAATTTCTGCACAAGGGCGAAAGTAAAGAAACTTTAATTTCCATTTACAGTAAAAAGCAGGCAGGAGAGAGAGCAGACAGGAGATCCCCTGGCCACATACATTAGTCCTAAAAGAACATCTTACTAGGTGGAAAGCTTACAAACTACTGGAAGGAACAGAATAGAGAGCAAGAGCCTACTGCAGGTTCATCCTCATGAAGCAACTGCAGCCTCTCTCCCTCTTCACCTACAGCAGCTACTCACAGAGTCAGGAGCGGATTTCACAAACTAAACCCCTATCACTTTGTGGTACCAAGAGTTTGGAAAGGTCACAGTAAAAGTGGCCCCAAAAGAAAGTCATTTGCACTTAGCAAGGAAGGCACCTACAGCCTCTGTTTCCCAGCCCTGAATATATAATTGCAATTTAGCATCAAATGCAATGGATGTTGAGTTTTCTTCTTCCTTATCCAATCAATCTACGCAAAGAAACAAACATAACAGAAGTGAGTTCACATGAGTATGTGACATGCAAGAGCTCTGTTAGAGGTGCTTTCCAAAATAAAGGAGAGAAAATATACTTGTTAAAACAGAGAAATAAGTTGTCTCAGCCTGATCCCTAATGGACAAAATGGTTGGCTTTTGAGAGTGCCAGGCTTGGTACAGCACACCCTGCTAGGCCCACTGTGAACGGCATGGGAGATCCAGGACTGGAACAGCAGAGGGTGCTGCAGGACAGAACTGAGCCTCACTGGCAGACCTTGATAGGAGAAATCTGCACAGTGACTACTCAGCTTGAGCCAGTGCTAATAGTCTGTTGTTTCCATTAGCACTAGAACACAGTTCAAAATGAAGCAGTAAGAAACTTCCATGCCATTTTCAGACTCCATAAACATTTGATAACGGAGGCTCCGGTTCATCACTAGAACCCAAAACAAAGATCAACTTTTTGGGTTTAGAGTTCTTATTTTCCATAGCTTAGGCTGCTCTGCCACATTATATTCAGGCAGAGCTCCAATACATTTCAAGAGATGGTCTAAGGCTGCAATAGCTTCTCTATTACTGGAAACATTAAAAACAAAAACAGCCTTGAGTTTAAAATATGTCACGGTCAACTACTGCACATGAAGGAGGAGTTAATCCACGGAAGACCTTTGAGCTATGCTATCAAGAAATTCTAAGTAAGGGCCACTGGCTTCAAACATGACAAATCTGAAAATACACAATGAATTTGCAGACAGAGCCTGACCAGAGCTGCGCTGGCATCTGGACACATGCAGATACCACTTTTCTCAAGGAAGAGGGGTGCAAATTTCTGCTGAACACAACAAGGACTTGTTATAGGTTCCAAACATCCACTACCTCTCAGGGAAGGAAGGACTGAAAAGCAGCAGGCAAACTCGAGGCATCAGCTACAGCCTATACATACAACAGCAGTTTCTCAGCCTCTAACAGCCAAACACTTCAGGGAGAACTATGCCAGTCCATGACTGATGCGTCCTCGTTCCAAAAAAGTAAAACATTTTACAACAGTAATCAGCATCGTGACACAGGAGACCCTGCTCGAGTACACACTTTACCTTGAGGAAAGTCCCCCTGGGGATAATCAAAACGATGAGGATAAGGAGGCCTTTCAAAGGGATGGCGAGGTGGGAAATCATCCTGCATGAAACGAGGTGGGAAGCGGTTGAAATTATGTGGATGCGGGGGCTGGTTGAATTGGGGATGTTGCTGATGTGGAGGGAATGGGCCTCTGAAGTGGGGTGGCCGTTGCATTCGAAATGGAGGTTCCCTTTGACCCCCACCCCATGGAGGCTGCTCATGCTGGTTGTTCCATGGCGCTTCAAACTGGCTGTTCCAATTAGGATCTGGTTGGTTATTCCAAGGGGTGTCTCGCTGATTATTCCATCCTTGGTCTCTCTGTTCATTCCACATTCCTTCATGGTTGTTGTTCCACGGAGGGCAGTGAGGAGGCCCCTGGTGGTGAGGGTAAGGAGGCTGGTCATAAGGCTATAAAAATAAAGAATGTAATAAAAACAGTCTATTTTTAAACTAAATGTTGCCTAGAACGTAAATGCTACATGTGCAGCGAGGAGACAGAATGCGTGCGTGTGTGAAGACTGTAAATTAGAAGTCAAAGGAATTTTGGAGGAAAAAGTGAAATGGATTTACCAGAGCGCTCATTTTCACTGACCTAAATGGCTTTGTATCTTGCCGGTAGCCTCTGTCTTCTCCCAAATGAAGGATACCAGCTATGAACCCTGGGCCAGACCTTGCTCTTTAACTTTATTCCAAACTTTGGAAATGGACTTCTAACATATCCAGCTTCTAGCCTTCTACTATTGTGGTGTTCTTGCTAAGCAACTCCCAACCTCCCCACCTCCAACATTCAGCCAAGCCTGGGTCATTCACATACTTTTCAACATCTAAAGTTACACATTTGGTACCTGTTGTTGACCCCAGGGTGCAACAGGGTGAGGCTGGTCAAACCAGGGTGGTTTATTTGGAGGTATCTGATCATGAGATCCAGGGCCACGAGGTCCAGAAGCTGATGGATCTTGCACTCCAGCTCCCGATGTATCATACTCTGTAGAACCAGCCAAAGGAAGCTGAGGCTTACCATCATCTGTAACAAATCAGAGACTGCTGTAAGCACCTCAAATATACAGCTTAGTCCATTTAAAAATAGGCTGGACACAAGGATAAACACATAGAAGAGTTCTGATCTCAGTTTATGTAGCATTTGCGCTTCTTATTTATACAGACTTTTGGACCAAATTAAATACTTTTTTACTTTGATCTTTTAGTTTCTCTAATAATAGTGCTAAACACCTACAACGGTAACTGAATACAGATGGATTTTTGCAAATGCAGCACCTGAGCTATTTGTTTGATAGAAGAGAGAAACAACCGTGTCTGACTTCTATGAAATCAGGCATTACCAAAGCACCCACCAGTGTATTAATATGGCTAAAAGCTAAATAAATGAGAAGCAGCGGTTTTGACTACAGGATAATAACAGCAGAGATGGAAGATAATGGGAACAACCTCAGGTTCATAACTTATGCAATCTACTAAAACTTTGTATTTCAGTAACAGCCAACACCCCACAACGGAACTGAGCCAGACTGTACTACGCACTGCACAAAACAGATGCAAGCATTTTTAGGGTGATGTTTTACGTGATAAGAAGTCAGTCCAGCATTGCAGTCCACTATCTAGACAAACAGAATCTTCAGACAGTCACCAACCAGCATCATAGCGGACCTGTACCTGTTTGTGTGACTGGGGCAGCTGGAGGAGCTGGAGCCGGAGTTGGTGCTGGAGCTGGAGCCGGGGGTGTTGCTTTTACCTCGCTCTCTAGTGGTGGTATTTGTATTTGCTGCTGTTGCTGCTGCTGTGTTAAACTGCTGACAAATTCTTCATGTTGTGTCTTCAGGTTTTGTATCTGCTGCTGAAAGGCTACCTGCACAGGCTGCACTACTGTTGCATACTCTGTCATCAAGTTTGCCTGACAACAGGAAACAAATTAAAACAAAGTGTTTCAGAGTTTACTGCTGCAGCCAACACAAACTACCACCATCCTCACTCAGTCACTCACTCACAAGTACCATAACACATAATTTCAGCAAGTCGACAAGAATACACCAATAACTATTATTAGTCAGTTAATAAGCCCACATTATGATTGACAAGTGCAGTAGTATCTCCCCTTTCGCGCGCACACTGACTTATCCAAGAACTGGATGTTACTGGCCTTCAGGCTGATCATCACAAGAAAGAGGTCAGTGGAACTATGCCAGGCATCACAGAACACATTGCTAACAATAACCAGGAAAAGGAAGGAAGGATCTATGGAGAACAAAATGTTTGGCAACATGGGGAAGGTTATCAACAAAACATACAAGCCCAGAGAGCAGAACTGGGACTAGAAGTGGTGATGGAAAAGGACTACAGAAGGTGATAAAAGGAAGGAATTAAGAAAAAAGCATGATCAGAACTGTTTAATGACATGCTACATTTAGCTACTGAACAACATGCTATATTACGTTTAGGGTCAAGTAACACAAATTCACAATAAAAATTATAGAAGATTTTTTCAAAATGTATACATAAACACACCTCTCAAAGTAGTAGCGTATGCATTGCATAAAACATGTCTGCAATTTCTTTAAGTTACAAAAATATACTACACTTTCTGTGGCTAACCTGGTATTGGCCAAGTCCAAGAGCTGGGCTCTGCAACTGCTGAATAATTGATTCATCAAAATAGCCATTTTTCTCCCACAGCTGAAGGAGCTGTATAAAATTCAGGAAGGGAAAATTTTATTGCATGACGACAGAAAGACAAAAGAAAGTTAGAGGGAAGTATATTACATGTTTATAACTTCACCACAAGAGTCTCTACCTCATTTGGTTAATAAATACCAGAACAAATTTCAATAGTAGCGGTGGATTTCCTGTCACTAGCAATTTTTAAATCAAGGCTGGGCATTTTTCTTAGAAGCTCTGCTCTAGTGAAAACAAAAGTTAATTCCAGAAAATTGTAGAGCCTGTCTGAGCCAGAGGCCAAGCTACATGATCACAACAGTTCCTTGCACTATTACTTATGAATTTTTCCAGCATTGAAACGTAAAGCTGAAATTAATGTAAAAAAAAGCTACTTACTCTGGCAATTTTCTGTTGCTTATCCTCTTCCACAGCTAAAAAGCTGGTACAGTATATAGGCACAACCACCTTCTGTAAGGCAGCCAGAAGGTCCCGTGCTTGCTTTCGCTGGCTATGAAAAGGAAAAAAGACTGTCAAAGTTTCACTATACTATTAAGCGAGTTACAACACCCAGTGTTCTCATTCTAGCATGCCAAACAGACACCTATAGTTAGTAACCCGTCTCTATATAATGAATAGGATTCTTCACATTTGTACCACACATCCTCAGCTGGGAACAACATACAATAATGGTTGTAAAAACTGAATTCAGTCTTTACTCTACCACCACTTTCTTTGCACCAATTATACTTATTTACAGCTGTCGAATGTGACAGGAATATACAGATGAAGAATGTAAAAAGGTGCCCATTCCAACTAAAGACATCTCTAGCGGGGAGATCCCTGACTTTCCATCAAACTCAGCAAAACAGCAAATTGAAGAACATATTTTTATTCTTACCAGTGGTGCAATACATCATTAATTAGATAGATTAAATGTAATCGAAGCTCAAAGTGGGCTCCTTCTGCTGTTATACGATTTCGCAGATGCCCAGCCATCAGCTCACAGTGTGCAGGAGACTTTGCATTACTAAACATCCAGTTCTTGCCAGCCTTGGAATCAACCAATTAAAGTATTTTAAGTTAGCCAAACTTGTTCACACTGTATAGACTTCATAAAAAAAAAAACAAAACCAAACCTCTTCTTGCAGGGATAACTGCAGGAAGGCCAAAATTCTTAGACAACAGACTATGATACAAGCTGCACAACTGAATAAAAAGAAATGTTAAAATCACACACAATGAAATTAAAGAGCTGTGAAACTACAGATGAATGAAAGGTTTGGTACAGACTATGATAACACTCAGTGGTTGTCTGGCTTAAAATTTTGGTTGCTGAATTCTGTCCAGCATTAGATTTCACTGTTGCTCCCCAAGATGTTAGGCTGTTTTGTCCCCTTTTGCCCTTGGTCATTTCTCCAAACCCAATCAATTGCTAATTTGGGCCCCTCACCCCCCTCAGTAGAGGTTTTTAGCAGACTTCCAGAGCTTAGCGAGCTTTCCCAGTGGTACTATGAACTAGGGACTGACAGTATCTTTAATTAGCAATTCCGCCCCATCTGCTGTTTCAACACCTCAAGGTTGGTGGTGCAGGTTACAGGCTGTCACTGTGCACTGAAGAGCTGCCAACAAGCTGCCCATGAGCAGAAGAGAGAGTTTATGACACCACATGAAATTAACAACAGCGGCCCGATCTTTTTACATTAAAACAATCTCCTCACACTATCTGCCTCTGCACTCACAACAAGTGAGAGCAAATCACCTCTGAAGGCAAACGTGGAACGTACAGATAAGTTTAGATGCTTACTTACTGAGATTGCATCTTTTGTACATGTATCAATTATCGGCTGCAGCAAATTGTCAAATTCATTCATATCTAGCTGGGTCTCCTCCAAGACTTTCTGCATTTGTTGTTCAATTGCAAGGGCTACTGCTGATGTAACTTGCTCCTGAAAAAAAGCTGAATTTTAATACACCCTATATTCTTTGGGCACAAAAAAACTCAACAGAAACATTCAAATCACTTTAGCCACAGGAAATTACTTTTAGAGGCCGGTATTTTCTATTCACAGTGGAAAAAGCATAGCTCTATTTCAGCTGGTTAACACCATCTCCTCTCCCTGGTCTACCATGAGAAAACCTCCCAGTCACTCTAGCCCAGGGGCAGGCAATTATTTCAGGCAGAGGGCCGCTTACTGAGTTTTGGCAAGCCATCGAGGGCCGCATGACAGGTAGCCGGGGGCAGATGAATATTATTTTTTTTTAAATTTCAGAGGGGCCCCGTGGGACAGAATGGTCTGGCAGGCCGCATTTTGTGCGCCCCTGCTCTAGCAGGAAACAAAGAAGGACCTCTCAAATGTTGCTGAAGGCCTAACATAAGCCCATACTCTTTCTCCAGGGAACCTTCAGTGAGGTAGGCCCCCTGCACCTTTAACAAAGAACCAGCACTCCTAAAGTAACACTTGTGAACAACCTTTCATCTCAGCCCCAAATCAGTATTTAAACACAAAATGTAGCATTTCATGCTTGAATGTATAGTCATAGATTTCACAGACATTAGAGCTGGAAGGGACCTCGGAAGATCGAGTCCAGCCCCCTGTCCCAGGGGCCGGAAGTCAGCTGGGGTCATAGGATCCCAGCAAAATAAACATTCAAACGAGTCTTGAAGGCGTTCAAAGTAAGTGCTTGAACCACCTCCGGTGGCACTCTATTCCAGACCTTAAGGACTTGGAGAGTAAAGAAGTTCTTCCTTATGTCCAGCCTGAAATGGTCACGGAGGAGTTTGAGACCATTCGACCTTGTCATCCCCTGGGGTGCTCTGGTGAACAGACGTTCCCCCAGATCCTGGTGAGCGCCCCCAATAAACTTATAGGTGGCCACCACATCACCCCTAAGCCTGTGCTTTTCCAGGCTGAAGAGTCCCATGGCTCTCAGCCTCTCATCATAAGGCCCGTTTTCCTGACCTCTGATCATGCGCGTGGCTTTTCTCTGGACTCTCTCAAGCTTCTCCACATCCTTTTTGAATTGTGAAGCCCAAAACTGGACACAGTCCTGACAAGCCACAGCACTATGTCCAAGTTGAAGATAACTGCAACTCGCTCCAGTTTATGGAGGACCATTGTGGTCTTCACACTCCTGGTGAATCATAAATAGGGTCTCAACAAAGCAATGGCTAGTTACCTCTGCTCTACAGAGTCTATTATTTCTGTTCTGCAGTGGATACCATACATGAAGTGACGCCAGCTCATATCGTCTTCCACTGGCAAGACGCTAAGTTTCCTCATTTGGGTCATCATTCCAAGCCATGCACACCCTGTAGCCACACAACTGCTGCCTGGAGCATCTGCAGGATTCACAAGTCGTCTCAAGCCTACCTGTCTCATCGCAAGGAGGTGCTGCTCTTGCTGCTGCAGGTTCCACTGGCTCTGCTGAATGAGCTCCTCAACAGAGGGTGCCCCTTGAGGAGCTGGGATACCAGCCGGCGGGGGGAGCGACGGCTGTGACAAAGGCTGGATCTGTGCAGTGGTTTCAATATCTTGTGTTTGTTTGCACAACACTAACAGGAAGAAAACACTTACTTTCAAGATAAAAGCCATAAGAGACATCCCTCTTAAAACCGCGTACAGCCCAAAAGACACGGACTGTTCCCACGTTAGCTCCACAAGCCAAACTGCCCTCTCTCTCTCTCCTAACAGGAAAGGGGAGGTTAAACTGTGACGTGCTCCCAGCCGTTTAATTCAGGTCCGTTTGTTAAAGCGCTCTGGTCAGGCCAAAACCAGCTTTCCAGAAAAGCAGCACAGGTACGTTTGCGAACACGTTTTTGGACTCGGGGAGCTGCCGCGGCGTCTCCGAAGATGCATGTGACAGGCAAGGCAGTGGACGTGACAGCACCAGGCGTGTGCCTGAGCCAGGGCCCAAAGTGCCAGCTGCGCCCGGGGAACTGCCGCGCCCTGGCCGCGGAGCCCCCAGGCTGCGCCTGCCGGGGGGCCCTGCACCAGTCACCCCCGAGCGGGGCCGCCCCGCCACACTCACGCTGCTGCTGCTCCAGCGCCAGCTTGTACTTGTAGTAGCCGTAGAAGTCGCCGCCGAAGAGGAACGAGAACTTGGGGTTTTCTTTCTGCTTCTCCATCGTCATCTTCTCGAACTCGGGCCCGTTCCGCGCCACGAACTGCGCCAGCTTGTCGATCACGTTCCGCAGCTCCTGGTCTGCGGACAGAAACAGGGCGGCTCGACCGCGCTCACGGG